ATCATTGATATGAACTTATTAATGACTGAAAAGAACACACCATTTTATCCTCGACTTCTAAACAATTCACATGAGGAAATAAAGAGAATAAATTACACTAAAATATGTTCACACAAGAAACAACATTTAATCTTAATTTAATTAACATTTCTTAATATTGGTGATTTTAGTGCTACTTGTAGTATAGGAACACACTCTCTCTCTCTCTCTCACTCACACTCACACACACACGCACACGCACACACACACACACACACACACACACACACACACACATATATACACACACACACACATATCACATCAAAACATACAACACACACACACACACACACATATCACATATACACATACATCACACACATACACACACACACACACACACACACACACACACACCAACACACACCTCACTCACATATACACACACACACACACACACACACACACACACACACACACTATATTTATATATAGTTGATGTCTTAATCTTTCACTCTCTTGTGAAATTAGTGTTCTTTTTAAATTGTATCCTTTATATAAATATAACTTTATCTGATCTGATCATCAGTTCACTGAATTTATTTATTTTTAATTTGTATAGGTTTTAAAAAAAGTGTGTGTGTGTGTGTGTTGTGTGTGTGTGTGTTGCAGGAGTTCATGCGTGGAGCTGAAGGTTTGGAGGATTTGTTACGGCTCCTGCAGGAGAACCAGGATAGAGAAGAACTGCTGAAACTGCTGAAGGACAACAGCTGACACACACACACACACACACACACACACACACACACACACACACACACAGAAAGAGACATTAAACACAGTTCTGAAGCTGCAGTGGGAGCTCAATGACTTTATCATGTGAAAGGGAAATGTTCATGTTTCCTCATGGAGTTACTTGTATCTTCAGTTGTGAGTGTCCTGGTGCAGTTTGCTGTTACTCATGTCTCTGATGGACACAGGAGATCATCATCAATATTCAGCTCATCTGGAGCTGTGGAGTGGCTTCTTCTATCTCTCGGTTCATACTTTTAGTTCATGCAGCCACTGTAGGTCTACAGGATGAGTGTCAATCAGACTAATAGATATATATAATTTACTTTATTTTCAACTTATTTAAATCTCTTTCTGTGTCCTCGTTTGGACCTGTACGTATTCAAATATATCACAGAATAAGTGATCAAATTGAATGTGATTCTGTTCAAAATGATGAAGAACGTCTTGTCTACAGTGTAGAATCTGCTGGTCTGAAGGATAAAGAGTTCAGATGACAGTAATGAGTATGTTGTTATTGATGTTTAGTCTTTTATATGTATAATTGCACATAAACACTAAAATGTGATGGGACACACCTCAGTTAAAGCGGTTCTACACTGTTGTGTGTGCTGTGACACAGCTGGAGTTCATCAGTGAGGGGCTGCGCAGGTGTTTCTCAATCCTGATACAGATAGGTGGAAACACACCTGACTGATAAAGAATGTTCAACATGCTCATCTGATCTACACACCCATCAATAAAACACGCCTGGGCTTGACATCAACACCTACACAATGGAGACACAGGTGAGATCAAAAAACTAAACAAACACAGGTGAACTGAACTAACAAGTGATTTGAACACAGGTGAGTTAAACAGGTGAATTGAATGAACACAAGTACACTGAATATTGGTGAGTTGAACAAACAGGTGAGTTGAACAGGTGAATTGAATAAACACAAGTACACTAAATATTGGTGAGTTGAACAAACAGGTGAGTTGAACAGGTGAATTGAATAAACACAAGTACACTAAATATTGGTGAGTTGAACAAACAGGTGAGTTGAACAAACACAAGTGAACTGAACATAGGTGAGTTGATCAAACACAAGTGAACTGAACATTGGTAAGTTGATTAAACAGGTAAATTGAACAAACACAAGTGAACTGAACATAGGCGAGATAAACAGGTGAGTTGAACAAAGGTGAACTGAACGCAGGTGAGTTGAACAAACACAAGTGAACTGAACATAGGCGAGATAAACACAAGTGAGTTGAACAAACAGGTGAATTTAACAAACACAAGTGAACTGAACATTGGTGAGTTGAACAAAGGTGAACTAAACGCAGGTAAGTTGAACAAACACAAGTGAACTGAACATAGGCGAGTTGAACACAGGTGAGTTGAACAAACAGGTAAATTGAACAAACACAAGTGAACTGAACATAGGTGAGTTGAACAAAGGTTAACTGAACCACAAGTGAGTTGAACAAACACAATAGAACTTAACATAGTTGAACACAAGTGAGTTGGACAAAGGTGGACTGAACACAGACAACACAACCCAAACACAAGTGAACTGAACATAGTGTAGTTAAACACAGGTGAACTGAACAGGTAAACTGAACAAACAGAAGTGAACTGAACCCAGGTAAGTTGAACAAACAGGTAAATTGAACAAACACAATTAAACTGAACAGGTGAGTTGAACAAGGGTGAACTGAACGCAGGTGAGTTGAACAAACACAAGTGAACTGAACATAGGCGAGATAAACACAGGTGAGTTGAACAAAGGTGATCTGAACGCAGGTGAATTTAACAAACACAAGTGAACTGAACATTGGTGAGTTGAACAAAGGTGAACTGAACACAGGTAAGTTGAACAAACACAAGTGAACTGAACATAGGCGAGTTGAACAAAGGTTAACTGAACCACAAATAGAACTTAACATAGTTGAACACAAGTGAGTTGGACAAAGGTGGACTGAACACAGACAACACAACCCAAACAAACACAAGTGAACTGAACATAGTGTAGTTAAACACAGGTGAACTGAACAGGTAAATTGAACAAACAGAAGTGAACTGAACCCAGGTGAGTTGAACAAACACAACTAGTAAATTGAACACAGGTGAAACGAGTAAACACATGAACAAACACCACACAGATGTGAGCTGAACACAGGTGAGTGGCTGGAGAAGATGATTAGATGAAGATGAGTGTCTTGAACATCACTTAGTTTACATGTTGTTTCT